CACACACACAGGACCGGGCGCGCGCGTGGCTGCCGAGGGCTCCGCTCCTGCGCCTCTCTCCCCGGCCTGGCCCGCCTCGCCGCCCACGCTCTCGGCGCAGCGCGCACTCCCGCTCTCCCCGGCCGCGCTGGAGACTTTTTTTTTATTTTTTTAAATTAAAAACAAAAAAAGGAAAAAGAATTCAAGTCAAGCAGCAGCGGCGGCGGCAGCGGCCACTTCTCGCCTCCTCCTCCTCCTCGCTTTAATGGCGCCGCCGCGGACCACCTAAAATGGCCGACGGAAGAACGGCGCGTCCCGGTCACGTGACGCCCGGAGCGCGCCCTTTGCGCCGCCTCCGCCCCCTTCCACCGCCGAGTCCCCACCCCCCTCCCTCCCACACCGCGCACGCGCACACGCGCGCGCGCGCGCCCCGCCCGCCCCTTCCCTTTTATACTTTGCTCTCACGCTCTTCCCTCCTCCCAACCCCCCCCCCCCCCCCCCCCCCCGGCGCGCGGCGCGGGCCTTTCAAGGGAACCGGAAGTGGCGTGCCGGGGAGGGTCGCGCTGGGGGGACCATCGAGAACAAGGAGCGCCGGTTCGGGGCGGCGGCTAGAGAGGCCTCCCCTCGCCTTGGCCCCGCCCTCCCGCGGATTCCTGGAGTCCCGCGCTGCTCCTCCTCGGCGGCGGCGGCTGGCGGCGGCGGCGAGCGGCCCCGGTGGAGGGGTGTGGTTCGTCCTCCTCCCCCGCCTCCACCGCGGCGGCGTGGCCCGGGCTGCCCTAGGAGTCGGCGGCTCCGGCCCCGGTGGCCTGCGTGGGGCGGTGGCCACGCGTGTGCGCTAGGGACCGCGCTCCTCCGCCCGCCGTCCCCGCCCGCTCCGGGTGACATTGAGGTTCCGCCGCGGCGCCGGCCGCTGGCGAAGGCCGCTGACGGCCGCGGCTGCGTTTTCTCAGAATGGCTTTCCAACTCTTTAACGGCTTCACTTCCGTTACTAGAAGAGCCTGAAGCCGGCCCGCGGGGCTTTCAACCGAGTAGGGGTTGGGAAGTGTGCTCAACGTCGACGCCAGGGTTGGTGTTTTTAATGAGTTCCCGTCCGTGTATTAAATAGGATATATAAATGTCATGAATCATCTTTACGAGGGTTCTGAGTTTGTGGTGGTGAGGTGGCGATTTTATAAAAAGAAAAATGAAACACCGTTAGGCTTGTGATTCAGGATTTAAAAGTTAGGAACCTCTTAGAATTCCTATTCAGGTGTTGGGCTTTACAGCTCCCTCCAAGACTCTTAGAGGAAGATGGGATTCCTATATACTTTTTTTGTCGTCAGCCACTTGACTGCTTAGTAAGTGTCCAGACTGGGTTTGGAAAAGTTTACAAAAGATGGCATAGAGACCGAAGGGTTCAGCCTGGCTGACCTGGTGCACATTGTAATCCCAGAACTCAGAAGAAAGGAGGATGGATTGTTGAGGCCAATCTCAACAAAACATCAGAAACGTTTAAGTAAATACTTCTCATGGGGTACTTAAGTCAATTTATAGTAATTGTATATAATCCAAAAATCCCAAAGATTAAAACAAAAGGATTATTACCAGAATTTGTGTTACAGAATTCTTAAAATAATAGGAGTCAAATTGTGGAAATGTCTTTAAAATACAATCTTATAAGACTTAAGCAAATCACAGGAAGGGAATGTCAAGACTGTTAAGTAGAAATGATTAAACATTTTTTGTCTCCATTTTCCAAAATGTTAGCCAAATAAGGTGGCCTTGTACTCAAGTCAGATATTGCAGGCTGGTGGCAACTGGGATGAACTCAGGTTTTTATTATCTATGTTTGGCTTCAAGAGAATACTCCTTTGAATTCAAATGGCATACCTACCTTTTAGAAAACACTGGCTGTGGTGGTTTGAATGAGAACAGCCCCCATGGGTTCATATAGTTGAATGCTTACTCACCAACAAGTGGAACTGTTTGAGAAGGATTAGGAGGTGTGATTTTGTTGGAGGAGCTGTGTCCTTGGGAGTTGGCTTTGAGATTTCAAAAGGCCACACCAGGCCCGGTGTCTGTATCTGCTTTCTGCCTGGATCAGGATGGAAAGCTCCCAGCAACGGTTCCAGTGCCATGCCTGTCTACTTCCCACCGTGATGATATTGGACTAATCCTCTAAAATTGCAAGCAAGCCCCCAATTAAATGCTTTTCTCCTAACGCTGTCTAGGTCATGGTGTCTCCTCACAGCAACAGGGTAGTAACTAAGATAATGACTTCCCCAAAAGGGCCATTTTAATTCACAGGCAGCCCTGTAGCTTCTGGAATTTGAGTGAGACTCAGGATTCCTCATATTATGGCCCAAATGTCTGCCTCGTTTTGTTTTCTTTTTTGAGACAGGGTCTCTAACCCAGGCTGGCCTGCGGGTATAGCCTACCATGGCCTCACACTATGAGCAGTATTCCTGCTTCAGCCTCAGGAATGCTGGGATTACAGGTATAAGTCTCTCTTCCCAGTCTCTGGCCTTAAACTCCACCTGCCATGGGATGGTCTGTATGTCAAATTACTCTGATTGGTCAATCAATAAAACACTGATTGGCCAGTGGCTAGGCAGGAAGTATAGGCGGGACTAACAGAGAGGAGAAAGGAGAGAACAGGAAGACAGAGGGAGTCACTGCCAGCCGCCGCCATGACAAGCAGCATGTGAAGATGCCGGTAAGCCACGAGCCACGTGGCAAGGTATAGATTTATAGAAATGGATTAATTTAAGCTATAAGAAAAGTTAGCAAGAAGCCTGCCATGGCCATACAGTTTGTATGCAATATAAGTCTCTGTGTTTACTTGGTTGGGTCTGAGTGGCTGTGGGACTGGCGGGTGACAGAGATTTGTCCTGACTGTGGGCCAGGCAGGAAAACTCCGGCTACCTCCACCTCCTGTGCCATTTCCTCAACCTGCACTTCCTTTCCAGCTGTTGAACTTCAGCCTTGGCTGCCTGGTGAGAGATCCATCCTTCAAAATCCCAGTCAGTGTTACTGTATCTGTAGCATTTTCACAGAGACACCCACACCCACACAATTTTGAATTAATCATCCCTTCACATAGCCCATTGTCCTTCTTTATTTCTGTTATTCTTAATTATAGTCATCTAGACACCATTAATTAGTTTATGAAGAACAAAAATAATATTCCCTAGTGTTGTGGTTTGAAAGAATGGCCCCCAAAGGGAGTGGCATTTTAGGAGGTGTGGCCTTGTTCGAGGAAATGTGTCACTGTGGGGGTGAGCTTTGAGGTCTCTCTTGCTCAAGCTTCCTACAGTGTGATACTCAGTCCACTTCCTCTTGCCTTCTCATCAAGATGTAGCCAGCACCATATCTGCCTGAACACCTCAGCCATGATGATAATGGACTGGACCTCTGAACTGTAAGCTGCCACCCCAGTTAAATGTTTTCCTTTGTAAGGTCATGGTGTCTCTTCACAGCAATGAAAAACCTAAGACACCTATATATCCCAGTTCTGCCCTTCACACAGATATAGAAATAGATACTGTATAAAGATGGAAATTATGTAACAAATATTGTATCGACATAGTAATTGCCTGTTGAATTATTTTTTCCCAAGGGTTTCTCTGTGTAGCCTTGGCTGTCCTGGGATTTCTCTGTAGACCAGGCTGGCCTTGAACTCAGAGATCTACCTGGCTCTGCCTCCCGAGTGCTGGATTAAAGGCATGCCCATTGAATTTTTAAATGATCAAAATACAGGGTACATCCATTTGGCCGGGTTTGAGGTCTTTCAAACAAACCAGGTTTTTTTTCCCCTTAGGGATTTCAAATGGCCCTCTCCTCATCATCTCACTTCATCATTGGCATAAATATACCTGGGAATTTCTTGATGCATGAACTTTCTTAAGGAGAAAAAAGGGGGAGTATTTTTAAGCTTTATTCCTCATTCATATGTAAGAATGTAATGCTCAAGTGACTGGAGATGCTATATTTGATTTTCCCAAACCACTGGAAGGGAAACAATATCACCTCAATGTCCAGGGTGTCAAAACTTCCATTGTTTCAGAGGCTTCTGAGTGTGTTTCGGGCAACACTGGGATGCTGAGTGAGGCATTTGTAAACTACAAACAGTTTGGCATGCCGGAGGCCCTGGAGTCAACCCCCACCACTACCAAGCATCAAAACTGATTTGATGCTTTGGCTGGGGTCACTTTTTCCAGGACGAGATGCCCAGAGTCAGTGAAACAGTTTTAATCCGCTAGATCCAGTCTACAGATGGTGTCAGACAACCCTTTGCTCAGATTTAAGTGCAGCAATCCCGTTGGCACTAGAATAAACAGGATCAAACAGCAAGAAGAACCCATGGTTACACAAGATGCATGAGCTTGGTGTTTTTAATTGTAACTAGCATGTGCCAGGATAGACCCTTCTGTTGCTTGAAGAATATCCTCAGCAGGATTAAAGCATTTTGGTAAGAGCTGGCTTTGAAGCTGGAAAGGTGGCTCAGCGCTTACCAGCACATGCTGCTCTTGCAAAGGACCTGGCTTCCATTCCTAGCATTCACAAGACGGCTCACAACCTTCTGTAACTCCGGTCCCTGAGGATCCGACACCCTGTTTTGACCTCTTCTGCCACCAGGCACACAGGTGGTGTGCAGACATACCTGCAGACAAAACACATACATAAAAGTACAGGTGACCAAGGAACGCCAAGATCAGAAGAAATAGTCTTCCACAAGGAAGAGCCCACCAGTTGGTTATTCAATATGAAATGGCCAGCCTTGGAGACATGCATACGAGTAACAGTATACAGACTGAGCAGATTGTATTTCTATATTTGGGAATACATACACATAACATATATGAACATATATGTGCTACATACACACACACACACACATATATATATGTATATATGTATGTATCAATTTTTTAAAGGCCATAAATTTGAAAGAGCAATGGAGGGAATATGTAGGAGGGTTTGGAATGAGTAAAAGGAAGGTGAAAATGATATAATTGCCGGGTGGTGGTGGCGCACGCCTTTAATCCCAGCACTCGGGAGGCAGAG